ATTTTTCAAATGTTTGTATTATCTTTTGTTGTTCAACATCAGCCTCAGCTAATTTTTTGGCAAGTGCAGCTATTTGTGCTTTATTTTTATCTAGCTGTTTCTTATAATCTGTTAGCTGACTCGTTAGTTTCCCTTTTTCATCTGTTATTTTCAATAATCTTTCCCCAAGTTTTTTCTTCTCAGATTCTAATTCCCGAATCCGTCCATCTACCAACATCTTTTCTTTACCGACTTCTATTAATTTTTGTTTCATTGTTTGTTTATCAGTCAAAGTTACATTCAACTCTTGCCTTAAAGTCTTAACTTCCGATTCACACTTTTTCAATTCGGCCTCCCGTTGTTGCCACCCTTCCCTTTCAGCAGCCATTCCCATTCTCAACATCTGAACATTATTTTGTTGATCCTGAAACATTTTTGACAAAGCACTTTTTTGATTTTCCACCTCTTGTAATCTATCAGTAATTTCTTCTACTCTACTAGAAGATTTTTCTAATTTATCATATTCTTGTCGTAATTCAGATAATTGAGATTCTAAAGAAATTCTGTTTATCTCAGACTCTTTAAAATCTACTTGAAGTTTTTGATAGTCCACTTGAAGTTTTTGATATTGTTTTTCCCATTCTACTTTCATCATGACAATTAATCTAGCTAATTTATCACGTTCACCTTCTAACTCTTTAAGATTACCTTGTAAGCCAAGATTTTCTTCGATTAATTGTTGTCGTTCATTTTTAATCATTTTTAATTCAGTTGTTAGCTGAGTCGCATCAACAGTAGTAGTTATGTTATCAACATTTTCAGAGGTTTCCTCTAAAGAGTCAGTAAGATTTGGCGATACCTGAAAATGGTTTGGAAAGTGTTCAGTGTCAAGTTCTTTAGATGAAGTTTCGACGGTGAAATTTTGTTGATTTATGGTAGAAGTTTCAGAAGTATAGTTATCAAGAATATCACACTCTAAATTAACATCTTTGTTTAACATGTTCTTTTTTTTTTTTTTATTAATAAGTATACTTAAAGAAGTATACTAAAAGAAGATACGTACAAGTCACTCTCGATACAGTGAATTCTCGATATAGTAACGGTAAAGGTATATCCAAAACCAGTTTATATAAAATCCTTATATTATTGAGAATTTACTAATAAAATCCCGTTATAATGGATTTTGAAGAGGTTTTTTTATGGTACAAATCTCACCACTATAACGAGAGTTACTTGTATATGTATCGATCAAAAAAAACATGCAATCTCAATAATATGAAGGTAGATAAAAATTTTAAAAAATTTCTTTACCATTTATGACTACGTACGCACGTATTACTTTATTTAAGTTGTTCTCCATGCACTTCCTTGCAGTGTCACAATAAAGCACATCGCATGCGTATGAAAAGGATTTATAAACTTATTAAACATTGAAAATAGAAAGATCTAAGAGGAATGAACGTTTGCATTATTATCGTTTGTTGAAGATGGCCAATTAAAATATTTGTTCGCAGTGTATGGTTAAATATTACAATCCTTACTTATCCGTTACACTATTGCTATTGGTTTTTTTTTAACTGTACGACTCTGTACGACTGTATTGTTTTCTAATCCTGCATTAACAATACATAATTTGTAGATCAAGTAATATTTTTACTGACTTTAATCAATCGTATCCAAAATGGACATAATTCAGGCCACATTATACGTATAACTTGATGTTAAATAGTGTTTTCCGGCCGAAAGTGCTTGCCGGCCGAAAGGATTTTTGATCTTATGATAATCATAAGACTGTATTATCATAAGTCATGATATACGTTTGTGATTAGCTTTTCTTATGATCTATGGACTTATTATCGGTTAAAATACGTACATCTGCTATATTAAATTTTTGTTTTTGGATTAAATTATTCTAGCCATGTATGGCAAATATGAATTATTAGGTCGATTTGATATAATAACAACGGAATAATATCGTACGTACGTACCTGAAAATATTTTTCATGTATAAACATTTAGCAATGAATTTATTGTAAACGTGAATGAAATTAGATACACATGTTTTTAACATTGTCTTGAAAATTAAGCAATGCAAACAAATACGTAAAACATTATCGTTATTCATTAGCATAAATGTTGAATAGTATGTATCACCGATTTCCATATGAAGAACGTTATTGCACACGTACGTACGTACGTAATAAATCCTTACTTGTTGCCATTCATTTACATATATGGTTATTGTCATTATATATATGATATACAGCTACTAATTATTGTCATTATATATCGATATATGATATACAGCTACTAATATGTATGTTGCTTTGTCGAATAATTTAAGATAACTATGATCCGTTTTTTAGATCCGCAATAATGATAAACTTTATGATAATAATAGAAATGGTCAATTGGGAATATTTTAAGTCCATCAAAAACCTTGATCTTTTATTGCAACATTGGTAGATTGCTTTTGGTAAAAGGTATTTAAGTAATTAAACACATTCTTTACAAATAATACGGGATAATAGATATAACCAAATGAATTACTGAATTTATTACCAATAATTTAACTATTCCATATGGTATTCTTAATTTCATCTTTTTCTATTATTAATTTCCAATAAAATTTTTAAATTTTCAATTAAATTTAGTCCAAATTTTAACATCAATTTAATAATTACTAATGCATATATCGTAAGTACATATCTTTTTCATACAAGAATAGCCTTATTTTAGATAAAATTTACCTCTAACATAATTAAATCTAATATACTTTAACATAGTAGTTCATAACGAATAAACTCTTAAATTTAATCAAGAATAATTTTTTTCTAATCTACACGTTATATTATTTTTCAATAAATTTGGCTTTGAAAAAAGAGTCGCGCATAACTTTACGGAATGTCAAATTATGAATTTTCATAATTCATTTTTCCTATTCAATAAATAGATCAAACCTCACAAAATTTTCCGTCCTTATAGCAGAATTTTTTGCATATTCCCAATCTTGATCATCTGATAACGAACATATCTCTCCTTTTCTTGATCTATACTTTAATCTTGTTATAGGAAATTTAAACCTTCCCTTAAGATAAACAACAAAATGATATAAATTCTCATTGTCTGGAAAATATACTGCTCGTGTCTGATGTGGCAGATAACAAGTTATATAGAACTATCAATTAAATTAAAAAAAAAAAGTAAGTATACATTCTGTATCATAATGAAGAAATAATCCTTTGAAATGTACCCATTGACATTTTTGCTTAAGTGTTATTTTATTAACGACTCCATATTTTTCAAACCAAAGTCTATTTATTCCAGCTTCAAGAATATGCAAAGTTTCTGCTTGAACTTCCTTAAGCGGTGTAAGTGTCATCGAACGAGCATGTTCAATATGAAAATTTGTAGGGTCCTTAGTTACTTCTATAGGTTTAGTTAATGATAGATCTGTATGACGAAAATACTAATTTTTTTTTTTTTTTAAAAAAAAAATATATATATATAAAAATAATAAACTAAAAAAAAAAAAAAAAAAAAATAACCCTTTTTTGAAAATAGGTACCAATATGAAACAAAAAAACATTTGATGTTGTT